AGGGATCACAAGCCTGGAGAGGAGCTAGAAGGGATAACAGATTTGGAGAGGAGGAAGAAGGGATCACAAACCTGCAGAGGAGGAAGGCATCCCAAACCCGGAGCGGGGCTGGAGGAGCTGCCGAGCCTTTCGAGAGCTGCTGGCACCTCTCAAACGTGCCGGGCTCTCCCCGTGCTCTGCTGCTCCCTGCCCTGTGCCCCTGCTGCTCTGGCCCTGGCACCTTGTTCCTGAGGAGAACGGCTGCAGTTTAGGGAGAAATTCCTCCCGGTGAGGGTGGGGAGGCACCTGGATCCGGGAAGTGCCCCAGGCCAGGCTGCTCCAGCCTGGGATAGTGGAAGGTGGCCCTGGCTTGATCTTTGAGGTCCCTTCCAACCCAAACCTTGCCATGATTCCTGCTGAAGGATCTGTGGGGTCGGACAGCTGGTTTTGGATCTGTCCAGGTTGGTTTTGGATCCATCCAGGCTGGTTTTGGATCCATCCAGGCTGGTTTTGGGTCCCTCCGGGCTGATTTTGGGTCTCTCCGGGCTGATTTTGGGTCCATCCAGGCTGATTTTGGGTCCATCTGGGTTGATTTTGGGTCCATCTGGGTTGATTTTGGACCTGTCCAGGTTGATTTTAGATCCATCCAGGCTGATCATCCTCCCAGCTGATTTTGGGCCTGTCCAGGCTGATTTCGGGTCCCTTCAGGCTCATTTTGGATCCATCCAGGCTGATATTGGGTCCATCCAGGCTGATTTTGGAACTCTGCAGGATGATTTTGGGCCCATCCAAGCTGATTTTGGGTCCAGCCAGGCTGATTTTGGACCTGTCCAGGTTGATTTTAGATCCATCCAAGCTGATTTTGGGCCCATCCAGGATAATTTTGGGTCCATCCAGGCTGCCCAGCCCCTTCTGTGGCCCGGCACAAGCCGTGCCCCACAAAGACCCATCCCAAAGCTCCCATTCCCAATTCCCTGGCTGCCACAGATGCCACAGGGAGAAAAGCAGGATTCTGCAGCTTTACTCCCTGCGTTCCCCTAACCTTTGGGGATCAAAAGCTCCTCATACACCCAGCAGAGGCTCAGGAACAAAAGGAGATTTTTTTTCTCCCTCAATGCTGGGGGAGCTGAGCAGGCAGGAGCAGCTGGGGCTTTTCCAAGGGCATCAGTCACGGGGATGAGGGTGGAGCAGGGAAATCCCAAAGCAAAGGGATCAGCTGGGAAGGGGCAGAGTCACTGCCTGCCATCAGTGTCAGCTCCGGGAAATGGTTCCGGAATCTCCAGGAGGGTTGGAGGTCGTCCCTTGGTGTTCTGGAGGCTTGAAAAAGAGCTGGAATAGAGATCTTTTTAGATAGAT